AAACCCTAAACCCTAAACCCTAAACCCTAAACCCTAAACCCTAAACCCTATCATCCCTAAGCCTTCCTCGAGCCTTCCTTGTCGCCTTAACTTCAAATAGCCCACGATCCTTCAAGCAAGTCTGGGTTGTTCAAGCACAAAACTTCAAAACTTCTTCAACCCTTAGGGTTTCGGGTTTGGGGGTTGGGGGTTTAGGGTTAGGGGTTTAGGGTTTCGGGTTTGGGGTTTAGGGTTCGACGTCTGCGAAGAATAACTGCCTTTTCTGTTTGGAGCTCCTGGGGCAAGGACTTGGCTGTTTCCGAGGGTTTCATGTTATTCTGAGACGCACGTTTGTGGTTCCTGGTTTTGCACTTGTGGGGTTTAGTGGCTTGGTAGCCCAGTGGTACCGTTTTCTCTTTTGGGGTCAAGGTTCCCTTGTAGAGTAACCAACCCCAAAAAGGGTACCCTTATTTTGATATGCCTACTTGGCTACCAGGGTGGGTTGAGTGGGTTTAGGCTTTAGAGCGCGCGCAAGCATTGTTCGGTCAATGTCCGTAAGCCCTGAACTTCCCGAACCTTGAACTAGGCTCGGCTTGAACCCTCGTGGGGATGTTAAAGCGAGTCAGCCATTCTCCTTGCCCGTTTCTCCAGCCGCCAGTACTCCTCCACAAAACGGCCCTAAAGCCCAAACCCCAAACCCTAAACCCAAAGCCCGAAACCCTAAATACCAACCCTAATATTCAAGCTCTGAAGCACCCACAGCCGGAAAGGTTTAAAGCTGTTGAACCCTCAAACCCTCAAAAGCATCCCAAGCCGCACAACCCTCAAGCAAGGAACCTTTAAGGGTTTGGGGTTTGGGGTTTAGGGTTAGGGGTTTAGGGTTTGGGGTTTGGGGTTTAGGGTTTAGGGTTTTACGGTTTAGTTTAGGGTCTGGGGTTTAGGGTTTAGGGTAACCTGGGCCAGGAATCGCTAAAGCCCACTTTTCCCCCAGGCAGACCTCCGCGGCTTGGGTTTGGTCGCGCCCTTCCTGCTTCGCCGCGTGTCCGATGCCCTCAAGGTCTTGGGAAGGGTTTAGGGTTTAGGGTTGAGGGTTGAGGGTTTAGGGTTGAGAGTTTAGGGAGCCAGGGGTTGGGGTACGCAAGGGTTTAGGGCCTAGGCTCGGGGGGGGGGCTTGGGGTTAAGAGGCTTCCTCGAATTTGAGGATGGGTCTTGGGTTCTGTGGTTTAGGGTTTAGGCGTTTAGACTATAGAGCTTCAGGCCTTTCCCATACTACGACGCCCAGTAGTACCCTTGTTCCTTTTGTTTCTTTGTTTTCCGGGGGGGGGGGGGGTAGGTTCCCTGAAAAAACCCCTTTCAGCCAACAAAAAGGACACCCTTTTCAATCCCAGGCTACTGGGCAACCTAGCGCAGTGTAGAGCAGCCACGTACGCAGCGAGATGGTGAGTCTGCGTGGTGCCGATGACGACGTGAACCCTAATCCTTGAAGCCCTGAGAAGTTTGGGCTTGGGGTTTGGGGTTCAGGGTTTGGGTTTTAGGGTTTCGGGTTAAGGGTTTGGGATTTAGAGTTAAGGGTTTGGGGTTTCGGGTTTGGGGTTTAGGGTTCTAAGCCTAGCATTAGTCTGCCACCGCCGTGGCTGCTGAGCCGCTCCTCGTGAGCTCAAGGACAGGGAGGATCCGAAAGTCACACCGCTCCGAGAGTATCTGGGTACTTCCCAGAATCGGCGTACCCCTTTTCTACCCCAAATGGAACAGTTAAGGGACCCCCAAAAAGGGTACCCCTGTTTTCGGAAACCCCATATACCAAACCCCCAAAGCACCCTAAAACCCCAATCGAGAAACTCTTCACCCCTTAGCCCCTCAAACCCTGAACCCCAAACCCCGAAAGGCCTCCACCTTGGCCCCGGGCCGCCTGAAGTTTTCCGGAGGGTTTCGGGGGTTAGGGTTTAGGGTTGAGCTCGAGCCATGGACGTCCGACGTGTGCAGCTCAGTTCCGAGAAGCAAGTCTTCCAAGAGGCACCTCTGGGGGGAGGGGGGGGGGCTTAGGGAAGCTAGGGGGCCCTAAACCCGAAACCCTAAACCGGGGGGGGGGGGGGGGGGGGGCTTCACAGTTTAGGGTTCACGGTTATAGGTTTTGGTCCCAACCCACTTCCCTCTTATACCGAAACCCGAAACCCTAGTATGCCCTAAACCCTAAACCCTAAACCCTAAACCCTAAACCCTAAACCCTAAACCCTAAACCCTAAACCCTAAACCTTGAAAGCAGACCGGGGACCTTGCAGCCGCCCAGCCTTGACCCAAGAAGTCGAGCAAGAGCCTGGCAAAGAGCGACATGTTCCCCCTTTGAGATCGTTTACCCTTGTAAGGGACTGTAAGGGGTCATGTGTAGGGGCCACCTAAGTATAAGGTATATACATATATACACACATTTATATAAATATAAATATGGGAGTGAGTTTTTTTTCCGGGCTTGTAACAGGCGCCGGGGGGTCCCTACGCGACAAAGGTTTGTAACAGACGGGCCCCGTCCGCGACAACCCTCCCCCGCGACAAGGCTACATACAATACCATTTCATATTATGAGTATAATATATATATATATAGAGAGAGAGAGGGTTATATGCTCAGTTCTAAACAAAATATGGTCCACCTTTTGGGTACCCAAATAAGAGGGGCCGCCTTATAATATCCCCAAAGGGGACCATATTTTAGAGAAGTGACTCTATCCCAAGACCCTAAACCTTAAATCCATTCTTAAGTAACTGCGAACCCTATAGGAGCTCTGAAACCGCATTGCCCTGCCCCAACATTTCGGGCGCGGGGGGTTGGGGGGTTTGGGGTCGAGGGGGTCTGTTGCTGGGGCGGAGGGACATATCCGCAGGACGTCTTGAACCCTAAACTAAAAAGCCTGAACGCTAAACCCTAAACCCTACACCCGGACCATCCCGCAGGTCTGGCGCAATGGGGATGAGGACGAGAGCTTTGAAAGCAGCGACGACCCGTCGGAAGAAGAAATCGCGATCGTCATGCGGAAGCGCATCTTACGCTGCTGCTTGTTCGCCAGCTTGCCCCTTGCGCCTGCATTTAGGGGATGAGGGTGTAGGGTTTACGGTTTAGGGTGGCGAATCCTGCTCGCAGCTATCCTATAAACCCTGCACCCTGGAGGTTGTTGGCGCATTTACGGGCTCTGCTTTCTTAGGTCCTGCCCAGCAAAGTCTCTGGTGCTAGGTTTAGGCTTTAGGGTTTAGGGTTTGGGGCTTGCTTGGAGGCCCATGGGTACTTCTGAGTAGGGACATAAGTATACTTGGGGTACTTATAGCCCTACTTGTAAGTACCTGTGAAGCTCCAAGTATGGTTTTGCAGCCGGGGCCATTTTCAAACTCACCCGTGACACTCAGCTCCAAAATGCGAGCCTTCCTGTCCAACTGTAAACCTCCTGTTGCAGGAGCCTCTTTTTATCATCATGACCCTTTATATATCTAGGGACCCAGGGTAGACCCTTATTCCAATTTTTGGGGCTTAGGTTCACTTATAAAGCCCCCACACCCTCAAGTATTGCCATTGACTCGGAAGTAGGAAGGGCTCCAACAAGGGCCAAGAGCCTAACCCCCAAGGCCCTAAACTCCCAGCTCTCAACCCCTGAGGCTGGGCTCAACCCTTGAACCCTAAACCCTGGAAACATTTTACATGTTCATCCAGCAACGCCCAAACCCTGAAAACTTGAAGCTCTTTTCTCAGCTGGGTTAACCCTTGAGATGCCTTGTGTTTTCCTGATTGGGCTGAAGAGGATCTTATTCGGGAATATTGGCCTTAACCGCCAACCTCGTTGTACACCTTCGAAACCTGAAGCAATTATTCCAGTGCTGCCAGTCGAAGGGTATTAAAGTTGCTCTGCATTCTTACAACACCGGTTATAGGTACCAATGAACCTCATGGTAGGAACCTAAGCAAGCTCTAAAGCCCTTGATAAACGAACGGTTTAGGGTTTAGGGTTTAGGGTTTAGGGTTTAGGGTTTAGGGTTTAGGGTTTAGGGTTTAGGGTTTAGGGTTGAGGGTAACCCTCAACGAAGCTTGTCAGGTGCTCCTGCTGTACCCTTGTTACTATCCTGGTGGGCTTCCTCGCGTTTCAAGGGGCCTCGCTGGTAGTCCTCCGCAGCTGGCAAGAAGATGTGCGCAGGGTTTGGGTGTTCAGGGTTTCGGGTATGGGGTTTAGGGCCCTAAACCCTAAACCCTAAACCCTAAACCCTAAACCCTAAACCCTAAACCCTGAACCCTGAACCCTGAACCCTGAACCCTGAACCCTGAACCCTGAACCCTGAACCCTGAACCCTGAACCCTGAACCCTGAACCCTAAGCCAGAGTTCAGGAGTCAGGGTTGGGGGAGGGGCATGGAGGCCTTCACCCTGACCCGAAATCCGAAATCCTAAGCCCTAAACCCTAAACCCTAAACCCCAAACCCTAAGCCCTAAACCCTAAACCCTAAGCCCTAAGCCCTAAACCCTAAACCCTAAACCCTAAAGCCTAAAGCCCAGGCAGTCAAGTTAAGTTCGGGTTTTCAAGTTTTGACAGGGACAGTCCTTGTTTTCCCCTGGTTCTTGGTAGGGAATGAGGGAGTACCCTGTGAAATACCTTAATGGGTATATGTAGGGTGATATGTGGGCTGCCACATTCCCCACTGAGAACCAGTAGGCCTTTTGTACGTGATTTGCGGATTTCGGAGCTTTGAGATGAGGCTTTCGAGTTTCTGTAAGGCTCTAGAGTTTCTAAGGTTTCTAGAGTTTCCAGGGTTTCTCGGGTTTCTAGAGTTTAGCCAAACTCTAGGACTCTAGGTGTTGGGTTTAGGGTGGTTCGCCATGAACTTAGTAGATGGGTTTTGGGAGGCCTCCGCGGGCTTAAGGTACTGGACTTGGGTGGTTTAAGGTGTACGGTTTAAGGCCTCATCCAAGACCCTAAAGCTTGAACCCTAATCCCTAAACCCCATAAAGCCTGAACCCAAAAAGCCCGAAAGCCCAGGGACGCAGAACATGATCAACCCGCACCTTACTCCGGTTCAGTTCCCTCGATACAGCAGCTGCGGTGGATGTGCGGAAGGAAATAAGACGGATGCGGAGCTGGCAGAATGCGTACATCCTTGCTTCAACTTAAGCTACTTACTTGAGCTGAGATGTGGGTTTCGGGAGTTTAGGGTTGGGGGCTTTGAAGATGATTTGCGGCTTCGGCCTTCTGATGGCTTCCTTGGCAAAGAGAAGCCCCCCAGCTTGCTTGTTGTTTCCGTTTTTTTTTCAGAGTTTAGGGTTTAGGGTTTAGGGTTTAAACCCTATATAGGGTTTAGGGTTTAGGGTTTAGGGTTTAGGGTTTAGGGTTAGAGAAGCGAGAGGTTTCATCCTGGAGTGGGAGCGCTTCGCTGCGGAGAATGGCTACAAGCTGGTGTACTTCCCCTCCCGCCCAGGTCCCAAGGACGAGGCACCTGCCACTTGGTAGCCCAGTGGTAGGGGTTAGGGTTTAGGGTTTAGGGTTTAGGGTTTAGCGTTTAGGGTTTGGGGCTTAGGGTTTAGGGCTTAGGGTTTAGGGTTTAGGGTTTAGGGTGTAAACCCAGTGGTACCCTTGTCCCTTTTTTGGGTTCTGGGTTGTTCCCTTGGAAGAAAAGTAACCAACCTAAAAGACGGTACCCTTAGACATGGGGGTTTAGGGTTTAGGGCTTAGACATGGGGGTTTCCGAAAGTAGGGGTACCCTTTCGGGGTCCTTATAAAATGGGATAAAGGATGCCCCGATTTGGGGAAAGGCAGGGTTTAGGGTTTAGGGTTTAGGGTTTAGGGTTTAGGGTTTAGGGTTTAGGGTTTAGGGCTACAAAGGTGAACATCTCGGCCTGGTGGCTGCCAGCGCCTGACAGGGCCGGTCGCCCCGCCCCTCGAATCTGGGCATGCGTCAGTCTCAGGGCTTTAAGTGGGTTTCCTTTGGCTGTGAGCTTTAGGGTTTTAGGGTTTTAGGGTTTTAGGGTTTTAGGGTTTTAGGGTTTTAGGGTTTTAGGGTTTTAGGGTTTTAGGGTTTTAGGGTTTTAGGGTTTTAGGGTTTTGGATTTAGGGTTTAGGGTTTAGGGTTTAGGGTTAAGAGGATCTAGCTTTTTGGTAAGATCTTGGTTGAAGTCCATGGCCCTAGAACAGGAACCGACTGCTTCCGCAGCACAGGGAGCTGGACCGCTAAGGTTGTACCCTTGGGTTTGGGGACCCCTGTTAAAGATCGGAATATCATATGAGGCCCATATGAGGAGCTTTTAAAGGGAAACTTTTAGGGGTACAACCTTGGGGGTACGACCCTAAACCCTAAAACCTACACCCTAGACCCTAAACACCAAGGCGTGGTGGCCTTCCACGGCATGTCTTCCAACAACAACCACTGTGGAGTGCAATCAACCTGCTTCTAGGACCCAGAGTGATATTAGGGGTAGGGTTGGGATTTGGGGTGTAGGGTTTCGGGTTCGGGGTTTAGGGTTCAGGGGTCGTATTCCCGTTGATTTGAGTGTCGGTTGCCTTTGGCAACGCCTGCTCTCATTCCGCATTTTGTGACCCTAAACCCTAGACCCTAAACCCTAAATCCTAAACCGCCAAGGCTACTTGTTGCGGTCAATAGGTTTCAGCTGCCTCGCGCTCAGCGCCAGAGACTGCGGCTTGTCTGGGGCATCGACGCACCCTACAGTCGGCAGCTGGGGCTACGACTATCACCTCGACGCGCCTTGGGTGTTCTTATAAACCCTACACGAAACACCCTAAACCCTGAACCCTAAACCCTAAATCCTAAACCCTAAACCCTAAACCTAGACCGCGGAAGAATGGAGGAGTTCTAGAACGATCCTACCACAAACTTAGAGCCTTACGTCAAGCCTATGTGCTTCTTCAGCCCGTATGCATAGACCCGTGGCCCTAATAACTCCCTACAGCCGTATTACGCCCCACACCCTCAACGATCACCCCCCTGCATGCTCAAGCCTGCCAACCACTCGAGGCCTAACCGACAAAACCTCCGACCATGACCTTCAACCTTAACGCCAAAGCACAGACCTGCAATCCTATAATGCTAAGGAGGTTACTTACCCTAAACCCTCAAGTTTCAGCCCCTTTCCTAAACCCTAAAACCGAATCCCTAAACCCTAAACCCTAACCCTAAACCCTAAACCCTAAACCCTAGAAGCCCCAAAGCAGCAACCCATTCAGGCTCTGGGAGCCTGGGACTACGCCGTGGGGGATCCGGAGGGTCTCTTGGGCGGCTCCCTTCCCCCTGCCCAAGTGGGGATCATGGGCTTCTCTAAAGGCACCCGCCAGGGCTTAGGGTTTAGGGTTTAGGGTTTAGGGTTTAGGGTTTAGGGTTTAGGGTGGAGGGTTTAGGGTTTAGGGTTTAGGGTTTAGGGTTTAGGGTTAGGGTGGAGGGTTTAGGGTTTAGGGTTTAGGGTTTCGGGCACAGAGGGGAAAGGGAGTGGGGGGGTTGGGGGTGAAGGTTATGGGTTGAAGTGTTGGAGTCAGGGTTTCTTCATGCATCTAACCCTGAACCCCCAAAGCCTAAACCCCTAAGCCCTAAACCCTGAACCTCAAGCCCTAAACCCCAAACCCTAAACCCTAAACCCTAAACCTGAAGGCGCCCTGGAAAGCGCCATTGCGTTTGGTCTGGAGCCGCGGATTCCGGGAGCCTGGTTGGACTCCGGGCCATTTGGTGGCCTCTTTGGTATGACCCACGACGTCGTCTCGGGAATCTTCGGTCCCGTGCCGGAGTCCCAATTGCATGACTCCCCGAGACCCAAGTACCTAGGAGTCCTTGGTATGGTCCCTTACGGATAGAAGGGGTTCCCCAATAAAGGGCCTAGGGAGGCCCTTGGGATATTTCTCATTTTCCCGTACTGGGGTTAAAGAGGATGATACTGATCTTGGGGGCGCCCTTTTGTGGCTCCCTTTGACTGAGGGGATTCTATTCTATTTCGGGTATATACGGGGTACCCTAAACCCTAAACCCTCAACCATATTTCGGAACATGTGTCGGAATGTTTCATGGGGCCAACCTAGGTGCTGGGCGATCCGTTTGCAAGAATTGTCTTCGCTTTCTCGATCTTGGCGTCGGGCCACCGCGCCTTGGCGCTGGCCCAGTGGTACCCTCTAAGGGTTTTCAGGGTTTAGGTTTTACTTAGGGTTTAGGGTTTAGGGTTTAGGGTTTCGGATTTCGGGTTTACCATTCAAACCCAGGGGTACCCTTTACCCTTATCTGGGGTCATGGGTTCCCTTGTAAAGTAGCCAACCTAAAAAAGGGTGCCGTTATGATAGTATGGTTACTGGTCGACCAAGGTGTGGACAACTACGACCCCCTGGCGTTGATGTCGAACTGCACCGTGGGGTCCAGACGTCAAGTGATGATCGCCCACAGCAGCTTGGATCAGACCGTCCCTGTGGCATACGCTGGGGAAGCTGTGAAGGTACTCTCTGGTCTACCAGGTTGCTATGAGGTCAGCTCCTTTACGCCCCCGGAGTTCTGCAACGGGGAGACGCATCACCAGGAGACTGGGTCGTTGTTCAGTACATGAGGTTGCCTTAGTGCGTGGCCAGATCGTCCAAAATTGAACTGTGGTTCCTTACAGTTTCCATGGTTAAGGCTACCTAAACCCTAAACCCTAAACCCTGAACCCTAAACCAGGAGATGTGGGAATTCCCCGATGACACCCGGAGCAAGCTCTGCCACTTCTGGAGCCGGACCTTCGTGCGGGATCCGGCCGACTGCCGCCTTGACAGCCTCGGGGAGCCTAAGTGGTAGCCCTTTTTTGCGGGTTTAGGGTTTAGGGTTTGGGGTTTGGGGTTTAGGCTTTAGGGTTTAGGGTCTTAAGCTCCTTTCTTCAGAGCCCGAACCAAGCAGACAAGAAGGTGTCAAGCTGAAGCAAGGTGCCCTGTGAGATTCTATAGTGATATTACATCAGCTCGAAAGTATTGAACCTGAAACCCTAAACCCTCAGCCCTACGCCTTAAACCCTAAAGCCTAAACCCTAAACCCTAAACCCTAAACCCTAAACCCTAAACCCTAAACCCTAAACCCTAAACCCTAAACCCTAAACCTCTCTTTCATATATAATTTAAATGTTAAGGAGTTACTGGGCAAGGTCGCCGTTTTACTGGGCAAGGTCGCCGTGTTACTGGGCAAGGTCAGTTCGGTCAAAAAAATCGACCTTGCCCAGTAAAACGGCGACCTTGCCCAGTAAAACGGCGACCTTCCGCCCCTGCCCAGTAAAAATGCGACCTTGGACCCCGAAGGTCGCCGTTTTACTGGGCAAGGTCGCCGTTTTACTGGGCAAGGTCGATTTTTGACCAAAATCGACCTTGCCGGACACCCCCCCCTGCCCAGTAAAAATGCTACCTTCCCCGAAGGTCGCCGTTTTACTGGGCAAGGTCGCCGTTTTACTGGGCAAGGTCGCCGTTTTACTGGGCAAGGTCGGTTTTACTGGGCAAGGTCGCCGTTTTACTGGGCAAGGTCGCCGTTTTACTGGGCAAGGTCGCCGTTTTACTGGGCAAGGTCGCCGTTTTACTGGGCAAGGTCGCTGTTTTACTGGGCAAGGTCGCCGTTTTACTGGGCATGGGCAAGGTCGTTCTATAAGTAAAATATTTTCTTAATGTTGTGGGATTCTTTGGGTGGGTGGGTATTTTCCTGGAGTAATTGCTTGACTAGTGAATGCTTGGACTTGAGATGCTGAACCCTAAACCCTAAACCCTAAACCCTAGGCCTGCCCAAGTTCCAGACCTGGTCGCCACCCGGGAACTTGCCACCTGGCAGCCCGTCAGCGCCACCGCTGGATTCTTGACTTAGGGTTTAGGGTTTAGGGTTTAGGGTTTAGGGTTTAGGGTTTAGGGTTAGGGGTTCAGGGTTCAGGGTTTGGGGTTTGGGGTTTAGGGACTTTCCGAGGGCCGTTGAGGGTTTGAGGGCAGGGTTTAGGGCGTGCTACATGCGTGGTGGCACAATGTGGGGGCTGTTCTAAATCATGAATCCCTGTTTTGGGAAGTCTTTTCGGAAGCAGTCCTCGTATCAGAACAGCCCTCGAATGAGTCGATTCTCCATACCCCGATCTCATCCACGGGCAAGCGCGGATAATTGCTTGCGGAAAAAGTCGGGTCCAGCAGCGCCCCCTAAACCCTACCCTAAACCCAAGCCTTAAATCCTAAACCCTAAACCACAAACCCTAAACCCTAAACCCGCCCAACCTTCTTCTGCGCAGTGCCTGGGCATAGATAGGCAGAAGGTTACCACCATAACGCTCGCAGATACTAAGACAACCCCCTGTCTATACTAACTGCAGTAAAGGGAGTTTAATAAGAGCCGAAGTTAGGAACCTTACAACCCAATTTTAGGGTTTAAGGTTTAGGGTTTAGGGTCCTTATAGCTCTACTTATAACTAGGGGGGCCCGTCCTTGTCAAACTCAAACCCCAGACTCTTGAACCCCTATGCCTGCAGACAGACCGAGTCACATACATCAGATAAGGCAGCTGCTGTCTCCCCAAACCCGAAACCCTAAACCCAAACCCTGAACCCTAAACACCAAACCCTAAACCCTAAACCCAACCGTGCGCATCAGACACCAACCCGAGGGGATTTAACCGATAATTTCTCAGATCAACTTTGCATGGCTTAGGCAAATTGTAGGGGTTTAGGTTGGTACAGTGCCGTGATTTAGTTTAGAGGGCTGAAGGTTGGCACGTCTTCCTTTTACAGCTTTGAGTAGACTCTACAGCACACTCGGCCGCGGCCCATGTTGCCTCTGGGTAGCTGCTTCACCCTCCCTGTCGACCCGGGTTATGGAAGTTATTGCATTGCTGATTTCTTGAGAATAGCTATCACCACAGAAGCTCTCTTACAACCACCTGACAACCAGTTACCCTCAGAAGCACAAAGCATCCAGTTGTCATCCAGCATTGCGATCTTTGACCTCGTGAGCCAAATGACAATAAGGGACCCCTAACATATCCCCCAAAAAATAGGATCCCCTTGTAATATAGAGCCCTCAAAAGGGTTTCGGGTTTAGGGTTGAGTAGGCGAGTAGCCCTACATCCCCTAGCCGTGGAACCCTCATCCTTGTTTTCCAGTGCAGCTTTGACCCCATGAGCGGCACACACAGCGCTGGGTACCTCCACAGCGGGCGGCTGTTCGCGTGCCTCCGCGCAGGCCTGGCGGGGTTTAGGGTTTAGGGTTTAGGGTTTAGGGTTTAGGGTTTAGGGTTTAGGGTTTAGGGTTCAGGGAGGGTTGAGGTTATCACATAAAAGCCTTACCCTAAAACCGAAACCTACCACTGGCCTTGTTGTGAACTCGGTCGCTGGGACTTGGAGTCCTGGGGTGGGATCTACGTCAAGCCTCTGGGTTTTGGAGTATCAGACGTTTGTTCTGAGCTCCTATTATAGCTGCATACGCCAAATAGTAGGCTTCCCTTATAAGAAGGATCCCCCAACAAGGTACCCCGAATTTCGGAAATCCGCACTTATACCTAAAAAGTATATACCATTGGGGTCGGAGAAATTCTTCATAATATTCCCTTATGGTCCCTTTGTAATTGTACGATTATGACCCCGCAAAACTCTATTCTAATTATTCAGGCCCCTAGCCCTAAACCCTATCCCCAAAACCCTAAACCCTAAATCCTAAACCCTAAACCCTAAACCCTAAACTCTATTCTAATTATTGATTTTGTCCAGGGTCTACTCCAAAGTAGGGTCCTAGGCCACTCCGGGACTTGGCATCCTTGACCCTTGACTTTTGGGTTTCGGGCTTAGGGATGTTTAGGATTTAGGGTTTCAAGCCTTTTGGGGTTTAGGGTTTAGGGTTCAGGGTTTAGGGTTTAGGGTTTAGGGCAATTAGGGCTTCAGTGCTTCAGAGTTTGGTCGAGGGTTTACGTGGGCAGCAATCACCGGGGTTTGACGCTGAATGGTTTGCAACACCCCGTCGGGGCTTCTTATACCTCTACTTGGAGGTTCATGGTACTTGTTAACCAATTGTAACTGTACTTGTAACTGTACTTATAAGCCCCTTAAGTGCCCTAATATGGTTATAAGTTATCAGTACAGTTATAAGTGCAGTTATAATTGGTTAATAAGTACCATGAACCTCCAAGTACTTTTGACTGGCCCGTGAACTGTCAAGTAGGGCTGTAATGCAACCGCTTGCTCAAACGTGCCGTACTTTGCATCTGCAGGGGAACTATCCGAGTCCCCGCGCCCTGACCTGAAGTCCGCAACCAACCCGAAACCCGAGAAACCCTAAGCCCTAAACCCCCATCCCGATACCGATGCCCTGAACCCTAAACCCTGAACCCTAAAACCCAACATATAACTGACTTTCGAACTGCTTGGACCACAGACAAGCTCCAAACCCGTAACCTCCATCTGAACCTCGGCCCCAATACACCTCATCTATTTCTCTTCTTGGAAGTCTTGTTTGGGGGGCATCATATGTATACTGTAGGTTTAGAAAGTGATACAAGAGCTTCTTTTACAGGAGTTACAATCTTAATATCCTTACCAACTGGTACAAAAATCTTCAATTGGCTTTTCACATATCTTGGAAATCCACGGTTATTACGCCTTAGAATTAGTTCTGTCTTCTTATCACATCTCTTTTTTTAATGTTTACTATAGGTGGTTCTGCAGGAATAGTTCTTGGAAATGCTGCAGTAGATCTAGGATTACATGATACAACTTATGTTGTAGCACATTTTCATTTTGTTCTTTCTTTAGCAGCTATAATTTCTATCTCTCTGGAATAATTTTTAATGGAGAAAAGATAATTGGTACTAAGAATTTATTACTTTCATCCTCTAGTACACTTTCTCTTTTTCTATCTACATTTAACATTTATTGGTATTCTTCTTGCCTTTTCCCCAGTGCATTTCTTAGGATTTAATGTTATGCCAAGAAGAATTCCCTCCTTTTCAGATTCTTTTTGCTCCTGGAATTCCCTGTCATCTATTGGATCAGGAATATCTTTACTTTCTTTTGGTTGTTTCGTTCATTTAATATTTAATTTCACGCGATCGCAGGAGGGAAAAGGTACCATGTGAACAGATACTAGCTGGTTAAAAGAGGTTCCAACTGAAGGGCTTAACAGGTGAGCTGGAGATGGAAGTTCCTTGTCAACTGTGCTTTAGGAATTAACTTGGAATTGTGGGTTAACCGCTCTCTCCCTGTCACACCTTGAGACCCTAACTCTCATATCTTGGTCTAACCGTTCACACCCTTGGAATCGCATGCCAGGTTAACCGTGCAAAAGCCCTATTAATATAATACTAAAGGCGTGAACAAAGGCAAGTTTCCGCGCGCTTTGCTCACGAATTTACTATTATATTGGGCTTTCAGTGGGTGAGAATGAAAAGGCAATGAGAATTCCTAATGAACGTACTTTATTCACTCTGTTCTTTAATCACTCACTCATAATATTGTTCGAAGAGAGCTCAATTATAGTATTCATAAGGGCATAGAAGCATATCATATTTTATCACCATTTTAATACTGATAGACTCATTCTCACTTCCAATTAAAGGGGCAAATAATAAGTAATAATCATAATAAAATGCCCCGTTAATTGTATTCTCTTCGCTAATTATTATCACGAGTTTACATGATATGTGGCCGGTCTTTTTCCACGCATGACATTGTAATTCTAATATTAAATCCTTCATTTCTTACACCTTTATTCTAATGTGGAATTCGGGCCCTCCAACCCTAATAATCCCCGAACCCTAAACCCTGAACCCTAAACCCTAAGCAGGGTGCTTGCTGGTCTT